CCTCATTCCACTCTCATTTACGCTAGTGTAAATCCCGAGGGATTGCAATGTAGTTAATCCATATTTACACCAGTGTAACTGAGACCAAAATTTGACCGCTGGTTACTTAAATAGGTAGAGAGATTGTTTCAAAATCTGCACATAGTGGGGGAAACAAAGTGGCCAAACATAGGCAGATTCTGATCATTAAAAGGGTATATTCAATCTTAATAATATTTTTTATTAAATGGAAATTATCCAGCAAGTAATAGTCAGCCTTGATGCCAAGTATATACAGTTGGCGGCTCAAGCTTACAAAATGTGGCAGCTGCTAGGGAGTAGAGAGTCCTAAATGATTATAGAGTGGTTGCCCTTGAAAAGGAAACATTTGTCTTATTGGGATATTGCATTTACCACAGTACGTTGTGATGTTTTCCTTCAATTTGAATGTGATTTTTTTTTCCTTGCAAAACTCTTGATATAAATTTAACTTTAAATTTAGCTTTATTTCAGATGACAACCACCTAACTAAAATTGACAATCAAAGAACAAGGGGACTAGGATATAAGGGTGGGAATTCACAAATAGTGTCAGACAATGACACGACAGGGTGCTAAATACAGCAGAAATGCTGCTGGGATACTGGATGGCTCAAGGGATGAGTAATGGAAATGTCATATTTGTCCTCTAGCGCAACTGGTGGACTCAGTCGCAATTCCAAAACTCTTTCCACACTTTGGGTGCCAACAGCCCCAACTGCCTCCTGCCTAATTGACAGAATCTCCAGCTTTCCCCGACAGCTTCTATAATGCTGCTGTTTTTTGTCATTGTGAAAATCTGTGTCACACTAACTGAATGTGTGTGAACAGTTTTAAATAATTGACTTGAACAAGAAAATAAACATAGTTTTGCCAGTCGCATTATTCATTTCTCTACATAATCTGATAAAAATGTCCACCCTGGAAAGTACTAGAATCTGCCATTCAATTTCCAGCTGCCCATAGAATCCAGGGGGACCTTCCTGCAGGGTTCAGGTCCAGCTTTCTGCCAATTTCACAGGCCCTTGCCTGATGTGGTTCACAACACCAGATAGGAATTGACAAATATTCAGTGAATATTCACAGCCACAAAAGAATCCAATGGGGATTGACTAATGAAGAAACAGTGAAAGAACTAAATATATGTATGGAGCCAAATGGAGCCCCCATAACTACTAATGCCAATCTAAATGTCAGAGTCAAAGAGGAATTGTTCAGGGTTCCCTTTCTCAGCACCATCAAGTTTAAACTTACTTTCCTTGCCCTCAGGTTCCTATATATCTTTACAGGGCATCCCCACTATAAGTTGCCCCGGTATACATCCGTTCCACAGTAAAGTCGTTGACGTTTGTAGGAACTGATGCATTCTAAGTCCTCCCATTCCCTGCTATAAGTCGTGTGAAACACTCCCCCAAATTTGCTTAAATGGAAGTCAGCTGTAGGAAAAAAATTCCCCGCTTTAAGTTGTTTTGCTATAAGTTCAAGTTTTTTGGAACGTATCTTGGAATTATAGCGAGGACAGCCTGTACCTCTCTGTTTATCTGATCTTGTTTCCTATTGGTTCTCCCCACTCTCACACAACTATCTTTCTTCATTTAGCCTGCATCTATACTCTGAGCTAAGGGTGTGAGTTTCAGCTTGCCTAGATGTACTCACATACGTTTTCATTGAGTTAGCATGCTAAAAACACTAGTATAGCTGTGGTAGCAGGGACAATGGTGACACTTCCTAGATGCCAAGAGAACATATCTATGAAGTTCAGGTGGGTTTCTACTGGAGACTGCTAGCATGTTCTGTTGCTGCCCATGCCATTATGGCCACTATTTTTAGCATGCTAGTTTAGATGAGAACTAGCACAAGTAGGTATATGCAAGCAAGGAATCATACCCCTTGCTTGTAGTGTAGACATAGCCTTATCCAGCACAACAGTAAGTACCAAGAGCAATGCTCCATTTTTATGCTTCTCCTATAGCCATCTCTTTGCTCTTTTGAGAGCCACCCCCTTTGTGAGCTAGTTGGCAAGGCTGCTATCTTCTTTGTTTATAAATTTTTTAATTAAATAAAAGTTTAATGGAGATTGCCTAGCTCCGGACGGGACCTTGAAAGGTCATTGAGTCCAGTCCCCTGCCTTCACAGCAGGACCAAGTACCATCCCTGACAATTTTTGCCCCAAATCTCTAAATGGCCTCCTTAAGGATTGAACTCATAACCTTGGGTTTAGCAGACCAATGCTCAAACCACCAACCTATTCCTCCCACCTTACAAATTCAGTCATATTCAGTTTGAATCCCACCTTACAAATTCAGTCTTAGTGGGGTGTATAAGGATTAAATAAGGGGTCTGGGTAATCGCTACGATGATGGTGTGGGTACAGCATGGGCAGGCATTGTCCTTATTGATTTATAAACCTATTTTAATGCCCCTTTTTCCTTTTCCTGCTTGCTTGGGATAGATAATCATATAGCTTGTACCAAAGATGTAACTTCTAATGAACACTAATTGTCTATAACTGTATGTTATCTTCCTCCTTCCAAACTGCTAGGAAACATATTCAGGGTCACAGCTCCGTCTTTCCCCCTTTGTAAGTTGCTGATTCAAGACGTTTGTAATGTAAAACTGCTTATGTCAGCTAAAAAGCTGTAAATGCTCAACAGGGCAGGTATAATGGTATTTATCACATGGTTCTGATTATGCATTATATGGGTGTTCATTTTACTAAATTAGGGTTTTACGTGTGAAGTAATTGATAAGTGTATGTATGTACTAACTAAGATAAAAAAAGTATGTCTGTGGTTAATTTTTTGCTCACTTGGACCGGGGCTTTGGGTGTCTAAGGCATAACAAGTATCTGCAGTGAAGCCTGTTTACTCCATCTGCCTCTGGGTCACCTATTCTTTTCTAACAAATCTGTCACTATTTCTGTAGGATATCAGGGTGCAAAGACATTAATTATTTTTTTCTCTATACATTACAAACAAGTAAACAAAGCATATTTTAATATTTTCCATTTTCTAAACAGCTGTCCAAAATATGAACAATAAGGGGGTCCAAAGCAGAATAAACGGAAGTAAGGTTTATAAGGAAAACCTAGGCTGAATATAAGGGAGATTTTCCTGCTAGTGAAGCCTGCTAAACTAAACTGTTGGATAGTTTCTCACAAGGAAATAAAGGAAACTCAATCTTAAAACTTGTTTGGACAAAACATTTGAAAATATGTTGTAACTACATTGGTATTGGGAATGAAATTTCTGTATTTTATAGGAACTTTGTTGCTTTTTATAAAACTTTATTCACTTTTATTTCCCTATCTCTTTTTTCTAGCAAATGCTTGTTTGGAATCTGGATTTGCTCCTTTTAAAATAAGAAGAAAAATGGCTTCATTGAGTGGGAAGGTACAGACTGTATTGGGCCTTGTAGAACCAAGTCAGCTTGGCTGCACCATGACCCATGAGCACTTGACAATGGACTACACCTGCTGTTATGTCCCACCTTCCTCAGGCCAAGAAACTTTGTCTGATGAGCCCATTGAAATGAAGAACTTGTTTTGGATTAAACAGAATCCCTATAGCCATAAAGAGAACCTTCTTCTGTATCAGGAAACAGATGCGGTAAAGGAAGAGCTATTGCAGTATAAAGCAGCAGGTGGTGGGACTATTGTGGAAAACACAACCATGGGTATCAGCCGAGATGTGAAGACTTTAAAGAAGCTTTCACAGGAAACTGGGGTACACGTTATTGCTGGGGCTGGGTTTTATGTGCATCACACTCATTCTTCTGAGACACAAGCTATGTCCGTGGAGCAGGTAAGTACAAACAAGTACTTAGTGAAATACTGCCCTACAGATAATGTACAGATGACAGGAGATCAATGACTGTTCAAGCACAACTTGACAAAAATCTAAATATACTCTGCTTGAAAACAATTAAAATTGTGTTTGTTTATATTGTATCTGCACCCAGCATTGCCACTAGGATCTATCAGCATTTCAATTTTCTTGTACAGATTTACTGTAACTTAGCAGTAAAGAAATGACTGTGTGGCTACGTCTAGACTGGCATGATTTTCCGGAAATGCTTTTAATGGAAAAGATTGTCTAGATTGGCACGGATGCTTTTCCGCAAAAGCACTTTTTGCGGGAAAGCGTCCATGGCCAATCTAGACGCGCTTTTATGCAACAAAAGCCCTGATCACCATTTTCGCGATCGGGCCTTTTTTGTGCAAAACAAATCTGAGCTGTCTACACTGGCCCTATTGCGCAAAAGGGACTTTTGCCCGAACGGGAGCAGCATAGTATTTCCGCAAAAAGCACTGATTTCTTACAGTAGGAAGTCAGTGCTTTTGTGGAAATTCAAGCGGCCAGTGTAGACAGCTGGCAAGTTTTTCCGGAAAAGCGGCTGATTTTCCAGAAAAACTGGCCAGTCTAGACACAGCCAGTATGTATAGCATCCTGGCACAGCAGTGAAAATTCTTTTTACAAAATACTGGGATGGAAATAGTATCTCTCCGTTGTCCCCTTTATTTTCCTTGTCCCTCTTTTCAACTAAGCTGTCCCCTCTGAACCACCAAAAGTTTTTTTAAAAGGAAATAAATATATAATTGTGGCACTGATAAGCAATTTGCAAACTGTCCCTCTGTTCTCTCTGCCTGTACATTATATCCTGTTCCCTTCGCATACTGGTTCCTGCCTGCCTCCTTCCCCCCAATGTGTAAATGTGAAAACGCTTAGGCTGTGTCTACATTGGCATCCCTTTACGGAAAAGGGATGCTAATGAGACACTTCGGAATTGCAAATCCACGGGGGATTTAAATATCCCCCGCGGCATTTGCATTTACATGG